TAAAATACTTATTACCACCTCTCGTTCTAAAATCGCACAAATCACTATGGATTAATTCTAGTGGTTCAGTTTCCATAGTGGTTCAGTTTCACTTTCAACTGATTTAAAAAGTACTTTCATTAGTTTTGCCTCAACACAAATTTCACACTTTACTATACATTTACTCCTACACAAGAGAAAGAACCTCTATGCTATACAATTCAATAGACTTAAAAAGAGCTCTTGTATAAATAGTGGTGCAAATCCTCTTCCCAAACCAATGTGGGACAAACGCTCACTTTTTCCCTTCATTTTCCAACTCAAATGGGTCTACTTTGAGAATCAATATCGCATTCACCCATTATCCGTTTTGAGCGTACAATATATCAATCTCTTCGTCTCACTATGAAGAATCCGAATCCACTTTGACCCGACTCAAATCCGAAGTAGACCCCACTGATAATTGTACCACAAAATAGTCACTTAACATGACATTTTATGTCATTTTAAGCTATTTTTTCCAACATAATATATATGAAATACAATTATGAATAAATCAATTTAGTTATTTAGATTTTCTCTATAAATGTATCTAAATATATAAATGATTAGAGATTATATTAACCATACAAAATTTTAATTTAGGTTTTGTATGCAATGAAAATAGATATTTGACCAAATATATGAAAGTCCAACTATATTATTATATTGTACATTTTAACATCTTTTTATTTTTTTAATTTTGAATTTAAATTCATAATAACGAATTTTTTTTTCATGCATCGCACGGGTGAAACACTAGTTTAAAGTTATTTTAAGAGAGAAAAGAAAGTCAACAAAACCTACCAAAAATGCCAAAATAAAATTTGAAAGGCTTCAATAAAGTATAATTCAATACTTTAGAGAAAATTATTAATTACGCAATTTATATTTTGTATTGGTTGAAGATCCTTCTATCTTTTCCAATGCAATTAGAGAATTTTATTTCTAGTCACAAAATATATATTCTTGCACATAAAATTGTTTTATTGTCAAAAAAAAAAAAATTAGGAGTGTATTTATAAGTCTAAATATGTTATTTAAGTGATTAAATATATATTACTTTTAAGTCTTTTTAAATACTATATTTTTACGTAGGACGTGACAATATTTTTACAAATTATATTTGTTATAAAGTATCATACGTAATGCACAGCAAAGCAAGTCAACCCAATTGATGTAAATATTTAGTGCTTCTCACCACCTCCCCCCCCCCCCACCCCCCCCCCCCGCCCAAGAAAGCTTGAAAATACGTAGGGGATGTATATATAAAGGTTTTTTTTTTTTTTTTTTTAATCAATAAATGTGGTGGGAAACAAAGATCAATTTAAAAACTTTAAACGGTCGGAAATTTTTCGACCAATTTTTTATAAGTGGTCAGAAATATTGATCACCTAATTAGAAGCAAATGGTCAAAACGACGTCGTTTTGTATTTTTTTTTTTAGAAATTTTGTTTTCCGTTTATGTTGTTAACTTCTAAAAAAAATCCATTGTTTCGAATGTACATAAACTCATAACAGAATACACATAAACTCATAACATAATACATAATACACATAAACTCTTAACATAATACACATAAATTTTAACTTAAAAACGACGTCGTTTTAGGCAGGGCGTACAATGCATTGTGCGCCCTGGTGGATGATATAACGATTGTAATTAAGTGGTCGCAAACAAAGGACAATTTAAAAAATTCAAAAGACTGAAATATTTTCAACCGTTATTCAAAAGGTGGTTGAAAATACCGACCATTGAATAATAGTGGTCGAAAATTTCGACATTTTCCATCCAACCCAAAGCTTTGTCGAAAAATATAAAAAATGTCACTTTTTGTGGGTGATTGGAAAATTGGTCACTATTTACACATTTTTCAGCAATGTTGATCATTTATAATGTAAAAAGTAAATTATTTTAGTGCAATAGTAATTAGGAAAAGTGAAGATTTAAGCCTATGTTCAAGTGTGTATTTTTATTTTATTTTATTTTATTTCTGAGTGGAAGGGGTAGGCCCAAGGAAAACTACTAATACAGATCAGCTAGGTAGCTCTAAACGCCAAGACAGAATGCCATCAACGTCATCCTCCAATAATTTCTTAATGTCTTCTGGTGGAGCTTCGAGTATATGGATACCTCTAGGCATATTTCTGGCGGAGGCCGCTAACGCATCAGCAACATGGTTCTGCTCACGGTAGATCAGAGACACTTTCCAATCCCGTACTTTGCTTAGCTCTCTTTTACATGCTAATAGGAAGTTCTGAGCTGCAACGTCTCTATGCTTCTTTCATTGATGCCTGCTACGAGCTCTTTCGAGTCGCACTTGATATCCACACTGGTGAGGCCTTTTGCAACCCCAAATTGTATTCCTTTTAGTAAGGCCCAGGCCTCCGCTACTAATGGTGAGCATTCGCCGATTCCCAGATAGAAACCACCTTTCCAGAGGCCATTACAGTCTCTTATAACACCACCTCCTCCAGCTTTTCCGGTGAGTAAATCCACCAATCCATCGACGTTGATTTCGACTCGGCCAAGCATGGGTTTTTCCCATTTTAAGAGGCTCCAGCGAGGGGCTCGTCGACTGCTCCTATCGCTTCTGGAAACTGAGAAAGCAGAGGTGACATCCGTGAGTTGGGCTCTAATCCAGGCCACCTTGGCCTCCAGAGAGAAAACTTTATTGTTAAAGATTGCTTCGCTACGCCATTTCCACAGCCACCAACAGGTCAGGGCGAATAGTGAGCTGCTACTGGACGGGTTTTTGTTTGTCCCTCTGGAATGGCTTGGAGATAGACTCCGTATTAAAAGTGGGAGAAATCGTAGTCCAAACTTCCTGCACCCGGGGGCATTTTCTCAGTACATGCTCAGTATCTTCGGTTGTATCGTTACACAACCAGCATTTATCACAGGTTGTAAAGCCTCTTCTTAATCTAGCGCTGTTAGTCATGATCCTTTCGTGCTTAACTAGCCATAGGAAGAAACAGATACGATTCGGTACCTTTAATTTCCAAATATTGGTCCGCTTAGCCGCTTGCAATGGGGGACTTGATCAGACGCCATCTCATAGGCTGAGCTAACTGAGAACTTCCCACTGTGACTGGTCTTCGCAAATCATCACTGCCGCGATCTTACAAAAATGTTCTCTGGTAATAAATGCTCCAGTTTGTTCCAGTCCCACCCCAATATGGGGTCCCAATAGTATCTTACTGGTCTGAGTAGCTCATCATTTGGAATGTGACCTAAAGCAAGCTGCTGCAACGGTACGTCCTCTACCCACCTATCCAACCAAAATCTTGTTCCTTCTCCGTTTCTCACTACGCACCTAACCCCCTTATCCAGTAGCGGGATAGCTTTGAGCATACCCTTCCAAGCGTTGGACATGTTCGTCTTAGCAGACCATTCTAAGAAGTGTGGGGAGGATGCTATGTACTTAGCTTTAAGAAGTTGTATCCAAAGGCTGTCCTCGTTCTGCACTATTCTCCAAGTGAGTTTAGCCATAAATACTGTGTTCATCTGGTCCAGTTTGCGGATGCCAAGGCCTCTATTGGATTTGGCTTTTGTCACCGTCTCCCAATTAATTAAGTGGCAGCTTCTCGCTTCATCAGAACACCCCCCCCCCTCCCCCAAAGAAAGCTTCGAATTAGTTTTTCTATGGAAGAAACTACGCCTGCCGGCAACAGGGTTGACTGCATCGTGTAATAAGGGATCGAAGAAAGTACGGATTTCGCTAGGACATATCTGCCAGCCAGGGATAATGTTTTCATCTTCCAACCTGCTAGCTTTGCTTGGATCCTCTCCAACATTCCCGCAAAAGATTCATTCTTCAACCTCCCATGGATTGAGGGGACACCAAGATACTTGCCCATGTCTGCAACTTTTGTTATGCCAGCTATGCTTTCTATTTTCAGTTGAACCTCGAATGGAGTATTCTTTGAAAAGAAAATGGAAGACTTCTGTAGGTTCACTCTTTGACCGGAGCTGCTACAGAATCTGTCCAGGCAAGCCTTCATCTCTGCGGCTTGATTTTCTGACGCTTCGCCAATTAGAACCATGTCGTCTGCAAAAAATAAGTGCAAAATGTTAGGGTTTAGGTTATTAGCTTTAAAAACTTTCTATTTACCTGAGGACACAGAGCTCTGAATAAGGTGACTAAGTCTTTCTATACATAAAACAAAAAGGAGGGGGGAAATGGGGTCTCCTTGTCTAATTTCGCGTTCCGGTTTAAACCACTCAGATTGATGTCCGTTCCAAGTAGTAGCCAGCCTTGACGTGGTCACACAAGCCATAATATTTCTAACCCAGAGACTGCCTAGCCCGATATCTGTAAGTGTATCCTCGATGAAGCTCCATTTTACCCTATCATAAGCCTTTTCCAAGTCTATTTTCATCACCATCCATCCCGAGGCACCCTTCTTACACCTCATCGAATTTAAGATTTCTTGGTAGACTAGGATATTATCCGTTATTTGACGCCCCGGCACAAAGCTTGTCTGGTGCGGACCGATCCATTTTCTGGATATATCCTTAAGTCTAGATGCCATAGCTTTAGTTAGGATCTTGTAAGATACGTTGCATAACCCGATTGGGCGAAATTGCTTGACTGACTCCGGGGAGCTGACCTTGGGTATTAGGGTGATAACTGTATCATTACAGGAGTCCGGAAGCTCGCCCTTTTCAAAGAACTCCAAAGCAAACTTGACTACAGTGTGTCCTACAATATTCCACGTGTTTTGATAGAATGAAGCATTAAACCCGTCAGGACCCGGGGCCTTGCATGGCTCCATATCGAATAGTGCCCCTTTGATCTCCTCGGCCTTAAAGGGCATGTTAATCTCTGCCAGCTCTGAGTCACTTAGAGGAGGGAATTGACCTCTTGGGAGGTCTTAGGTATGGGAGTCCAGATTTTCCGAATACAATATCTTGTAGTAGTCTCTCACATGGTTCCTGATTGAAATCTCATCCTCAATCCATGATCCAGATTCATCCTTTAATTTGGAAATTTTCCTGTTGCTGTTCTTAGCCATAGTGGCTGTGTGGTAAAAGCGGGTATTCCGGTCCCCCGAATCCATTCTTCCCTTGAGCGTTGGTACCATAAGAGTTCCTCTTGGTAGAGGGTATTTTCCAACTCCTCACGAAGCTTTCTTTCCAGTCTTAACAAATTGGGGGTTACTTTGGTGCACAAACAGCGTTGCACTCCTTTTAACCTGGCCAGAGTGCGATTCTTCCGTTGAAAAATATTGCCAAATACATTCCTGTTCCAAGCTTGAAGAGCCTCCGCTACTGACTTTTTTTCTGATTCTAGCTCCCCTGTTGTGCTCCACATTTGGCCTATAAAATCTTGGAACTTCGGATGGGTAGTCCAGGCAGCATTAAACTTGAATCTCATACGATGGTTTAGGTGGGAAGATGCAGAAATGCAGGTGTTTACTAACAAAGGGGAGTGATCAGACGCGACCATCGAGAGATGCTGAACTTGGGCTTCAGGGAACCTTAATCTCCATTCTATGTTGGCTAAAGCTCTGTCTAAACGGGCACCCCTGAAGGTTGATGAGTTCACCCCTCTCATCAAAGTGAAGGGCGCGCCCGTATAACCAAGATCAAGTAGTCCCTCTCTGAAAATCCACTCTGAAAAGTCGACATATCTGGAGTGGTTGAACGTGTCCGGATTGCTGACTTCACCCTGACATGTCACGGAGTTATAATCCCCAACTGAGAGCCACGGCCCTTGAAGGTTCAAGTTACGACATGACAATTCTGCAAACAGTTTTCTCCTCAGCTGCAGGTTGGGGCTGCCGTAAACGAACGACAGGGCCCAAGGCTCAAGACCAACTTCATTCACCTGCACAGCCAGGAATTGTGGGTGAGTTTGGATAATATCTAGAGTTACGTTGTTCTTCCAGAGGACCCAAATCCCCCCGGAAAATCCAATCGCCTCTACTCTAATCCATTCGGGGAAGCCAAAGCTAGCGCATATGCTATTTGCATGGGCTCCCGACACCTTAGGTTCAAGAAGACACACAATGGAAGGATTATGAATCCTAACAAAGTGCTTGAGGGTGCGGCAAAAATCTTTCGAAGCCGCCCCTTGGCAATTCCAAATTAAGCTAATCATTTAAGTAACATCAAAGAAAAAGAAATAAACGCTCAGGAGCGTGAAAAAGAATACAGAAGACATCAATCGACGAAGGACAGTGCTCAAGAGCGCAACACGGCACTAGATGCCTCATGGCCATTCTGGCCAACTCCACCGTCCGCCTCACACATTGGGTCGTCCGGCGGCACAGCTGGGATGGGCACAGGTCTTGTGATGACCGGCTGTCTGCTAGATTCACCATATTCGAACGCCCCCGTTGGAGGCGTCTCTGGGTTGTCGTTTACTCTTTATACCATTGTACTAGCTACACGCCCTCCCCGATTAGAGCCCCGAACAACAGTATGCTCTGCTTCGGCTGCGGCCCTCCTTGGAGTCCTCCTTCGCATGTTCTTGCCCCTTTGCACGCCGTGCTGGCCGGATTGGGGAAGTCTTGGTTGGCTAGACATCGGCTCAGAGTTCTGGTTTGCAACAGGCACCTGTGGCAGAGGGGCGTTACCATCACTCCGTTGGCTAGTCCTAATCCTTGGGAGGTTGTTCGTTGGGTGATTCACTCTTGTGTTAAATTCTTCATTGTCCATGTGCCATTGAGCACTTGGTTGCAAAACTCCATTATCATCCAGGCCCGCAAGGGTAGAAAAACGTGATGGGGAACCCAAACCTTGTTGCGCTACTACCCTTCTTGAAGGTGTCTGTCTGCCGGCTTCCTGGACAGGTACCGCTTTCCTTAGGCCTCTTCTTTCTCTTCTTGCGACTAGCATCCAGGGGCAGTAATTGGCCGACAAGTCACGCTATGGGCGAGGCAGCTGGTTCTCCGGTTGGTTCGGTGCCTTGTCCCCTTCTCCCAATTGGTTTGGTTCAGAACTCTAATCCTTGTTAACGCCGCATTGAGGCTGCCTGTGGCTGTATAGACCGCAAGAAAAGCATATCAAGTGAATCCCCTCGTATTCGACCGGCCAAACCTTCTCCTCAAGTGTGAACTTCGATAGCAATGGTTTGGAGATATCGATTTCTACGCACACCCTGGCAAACTTGCCCTTGGAGATTAAGCTGGTAGTGAAGTCGACCCTAACTGGTTGCCCCACTCTTCTTGATATTTTCCTCACAAATTTCCCTTCAAAATATTCAATGGGCAGAGTAGGGAACCTTACCTACACCAGTAATTTCTTGGTCTTGTTGCATGAGGGGTCGAAATTAGGTTCTCATTCTTGAACGACCAGGTAGTGGTCAAGAATTACCACGGCCCTTCGTATTTGGCAAATTCGTAGTCCCTGAGCGATTCAAACTTAGCGATGAAGTAGTCCTGATCTAGTGCAATTAGCTCGAAGACGGACTCTGGTTTCCACATCTTCTGGAGTCTCTGTAGCAGGTAAGAATAGCTCACTTTCCGGCCAAGAACTTTACAAATTAGCGATCTACGCCAAGGTCTTCGAATTCTTTCCTTTTCTTCCTCCGTGATGGGTATTACCGGGTTGCATGGGTCCAAGGCCTCCTCTTCCATTGATTCTTCATCTGAATCGACATCTCTGTAAGCGGGACTGTTGAAAACCTTCCGACCCCAGGCTTGATTCGGAGTCGCATATGGAGTTTTCCACTGGGCAGAGGCCGGTGACAAAAGCTCATTCGCCACCGGAGTTTCTTGGACCCGACTTATCGAACCGATTGGAGATGTAGTCCCCAACTCCGATCTTCCTCTTTTTGTTTTCTTCAAACTTCTTTCGGATGATTCTGGGTTGGACGGCGACTGAGGGGTCGCCGTCGGCATAACGGGTTCTGAGAGAGACTCAGAGATTACTTCCATGATTTTCTTGTCGAATTTGATAAGCTCAAGTGTGTATTTTATACTCCGTATTATATTTTATCAATCATAAATGATTTTATCTAAAAAAAAATATATTAGAAGTTCTTTTTTTTTTGTTTTTTTTTTTTAGAATATTCAAGTTATTATGAATATTCTTAAAATATTTTATATAATCAAATCCACAATATTTTATTAAGCAAATCCTATATGTTCACTAATAAGGCCAATGTTATTATATATATATATATATATATATATATATATATATATATATTATAATCAAATCCACAATATTTTATTAAGCAAATCCTATATGTTCACTAATAAGGCCAATGTTATTTTATATATATATATATATATATATATATATATATATATATATATATATAAAAGTGTTAATAATAATGCCAATACAAATTGAGAACTCGTGATCTTTCGAATTTCAAATTGTTATCATCTGTGGTCCAAGTTAACCATTCAACTATCAAATTTTAACCACACATGCTCCTTCCAAAAGGACCACGTCTGGTTGAATTTTGAAGGTTGAAGGACCATGAGTAGTTAACTTGGACAACGTATGATAATAATTTAAAAGTCGAAGGACCCGGAGTTGTCAATTTAAAATTTTAGAACTAAATGTGACAAAATCACTATGTTCCGAGGATCCCATATGACATTAATTCTTAAATTATGTAATAGTCTACTAATATATAATATAAGCTAAGTCATGTATTATTTTGTAGAAATATAATAGAAATAGAAATATTTGTATAAAGAATTGTAGGGGCAGAATTGGCATGTTAGGGAATGTTGGAGAGTTGGGTTTGGCAATTGCCACTGAAATTTGATATACCTTTCTTTTGGAGATGGCAGAAGTTTTCCAGCTAAGATTTCCCTACCCTTTTTGTTCTTTAATTAAACCAGAAGTATTCCTCCATGGCTCTACCTACATTAATCCAATTTGGGTTTTTGGAATGGAATTTGTGGTGGGGTTATATCATCAAATCAATGATTCATCATCTATGTCCATGAGAGAGGGTAAGATGGTCATTCCCAGAAATGACACATGAATCGCTATTATATATTTATGTTTTTTCTTTTCCTCTCTCATAAAGTATGTCACTACAAATGTGTCTTTTTCCTTCACCAGTATGACTCTTTAAGAATCAGAATTTCTGGATAACATAATGAGGTTTGTTTGATTGAGAGCTACACAAAATTCTACTTCAATTTGGGATTCACTGTCACAACCCTCCAAATATCTGTGTTTCTCTCATTTATATTCTCTCTTTTCTTGTTCTAATTTTTTCCCAGTTTAATTTGCTCACATTTACATTGACACAAAAAAAAAAAAAAAAAACCAATTTGATTTCTTTTTCTTGGATGAAGAAAACCCATCAAGTTTTTGTTTTTGTTCTCTCCTGCTAGATTGTGGATCCGGGTCATTTAATATTGTTCTCAACAACTTTGATGCTTTTAAGGATTTCTATTATGTGTGTCAGCACAGGTGGAATTTGTCACCTACTGTAACTAATTTGAGTTCTTTTTGCTTTTCTTGAAACACCCATATATGAAAATTGGGGTTTCTTATTTGCTTTATGAAGGATTGGAAGTCAAAAATTGGATCTTTGTGCCTTATTCTTGAAGACCTCATCTCATCTGCAATGGAGTAATATGGTGGGTGTGTTTGAGATGAGCTCTTATTGATGAAGGAAAGTGGTTTGATGAGGGTGTTGGTCTGCAAGATTCACTGTCCATTCATTTGTTTCTGCAAGCCCTCTGCTGCCCATCTTTACACTCAAGCCCCACTGAAACTGGAAAATACCCCCCATGCCCCTTCTTCAATTGTTGTTGGTGATCCCTCTGGAGATATTGGTGAGGCTAAAGAAGAGAGTGTACATGGGAGTAAGCAAGCTGCCATTAATGGTGGGCATAGAAGCTGCATTAGAAAGGCCCCTAAGGAGATTGAGAAGAAGAAGAGTGTACAATGGGTGGATAACTTGGGGAAAGAGCTGGTTGAGATCAAGGAGTTTGAAACCAGGTATATATTCTTTTGTTTTGTTTTTTTTTTTTCTGTGTTTTACTTTTAAAGCTTTCTGTATGTATAGTTTTGCACAGAAAATGTTCATTGTTTCTTACTAGGAGTAAAACTTGATTCACATTGCTATTTACCTTACTAACTTCAATTAAACTCCACGGGCTTAGCTCACTAGTTCAGTAGGCAGTATTTGAGAGAAGATACGAAGGTTCAAACCTCGACAGAGGCAGTGTGGGGATTATGCCCAAAGTGGGCAAATCCTTTGCGTGCACCGGCATTTGACTCTGTCTGTTGAGCCATTTAATTATTAAAAAAAAAAATAATTGAAGTGAGAGCCTCTATTTCTTGTGGAAAAAAGGCATTTAGAAAAGAGGGTGTTCTGCTATGAATGGAAACCTGTTTTTTAACCCATACTAAATCCACCCTTAGCAATTTGATTTTGGCATAGCAAGATCATAGACACTATATGGGTTGCTCTAGTTTGACAATTGAAAACTAGTTTTTTGGTTCTTATTTCAATTTCCAATTTCTCCGAAATGCCCTGTTATATAGGGATCTGTAAGAGTTAACCAAATACTCGTAATGTAGGCGACAAGTGATATATGAAGATTTGATTGACCACATTGAGATGCTGCTAATTATAATGCAAGAGACCAGTTACTCAATTAGTGTCTGCATCTTACATTTTGGATGCCTTTCTGGTCGGGATTTTGTTTGAGCGATAGTGCATATGCACACTGAAAATACTGTCTGCCGAACCAGTGAACTCTAGGGTGTGTGGTTCAAGAGATTGTATCCCTGAAGTTACGTCCTTGCTTGCTTTTATTCTTACACTGCCCGTTCTCTTGGCTTGTCTTGTTTGTAGGTTGAATGTTTCTTGATTTGTGAACTTTAATGTTGCCCTTTTGTAGCTTAGATCTCTGAAGTTTTAAACAGGTGTGTGTTATTAGTGTAGCCGAAGTCCATATAAATGTACTATATATGCATATGAGTGCGTTTTCACATGATTGCTTCACATTCATATCGAGAGGACTCTAGCTTCATAAAGCAACCAAGACGTTAGTTTTCACAACGCTTTTAGGGTCCTTCCGAGTCTGTAACTCGAGAGAAATCATTATTTCTATCATTTTATCTTTCTGAAGCAGAATCTAATACTCGAAAGATGATTCCTTTGCTCTGTTTAATTTTAGTCCAAATGTGTGTGCAGTGAAACAGGAGACAGCGATAACGAAGATGAAAACCGACAATGTTTTTGCATTATTCTTTGATGGCAACACCCTTAGTGCTGGCAAGAAACAAGAGTAGCTGGAAAATCGGCCTCAATATTCCCAACGGTAACTGGTTATGATTTGGAGATCAGAAGAGCTGTACAAGGTTAAAGCCCATCGTCTTTTCACCGATTTTTTTGGGCTGCTATATCCCTACATTGATAGATACTCCATAACTAGATCTCCTCGCCTCCTATCTACCACATACTTCAGTTGCAATCCGAGACCTTCCGCCGCTAAACCTCGACTGCCCTGCCTGTGCGCTTTCTATATTAGCTGTTTGATGCAGCCGAAAGCTTACTTAGAGATCATTTTTATGCAAGTATCAGGTTGTATTCAGTTTAAGAATCCTTTGGTCACCAATCACCATTCATCAAAAAAGATAATTGTTAGCCTGTACAAGAACTCAGAGCAATCTTTATTTGTAATCAAACTTGATTGTTCTCATCTGCTAGCAATAAAAATGATTACAGTTCAAACCAATTCAAGCTGACTTGCATTAACCCATTCATCTGCATATTCATCTCTGCTCTTTTCCTTAGTTTCTTGCAGTTAATTGAAGAGCTGGCCATGTTGAACATCATTGTACCATAAATATCAGTTGAATTCATGTTTAACTAATGACAATGTTTATTGAAAATTAGTCTACGTACCCAAAAAGATGGCTGAATGAATAAAATACGATTCTCGTATATAAAGATTATGGAACGGAATAAGTAAAGCATGATTTTCGTATATAAAGATTATAGAACTGTTGAAGTAGTTTCTTCCGCCACTATGTGGGAGTGGGCGATGCCCATTATAGGGGCGCATGACCTTGTTCTCACTTACAGTTCTCTCGAGTCTTCACCTTTATGCCCAACCCCCTAAAGTCTCTCTTCTCTCTCCTATCTGGATCCCTCAACCCAACCCTCCAACCCCCCCCCCCCCCCTCTACCCACCACCTTAGGCCTTATCCCACATTCCCACTTTGTACTATATCTCCTTATCCCTTCAAGTCCAACTTTGGATGTATTTGGTTCAAACATTGAAATCTGAATAGTAATGATAATGTGTTTAAATAGAATGAGTAGCTTTGTTTGGCAGTAAATAGAAATTGGAATCAAAATAAATAAATATATAGAAATGTATAATATATATATATATATATATATATATATATATATATATATATATATATATATATATATATATATATAGTGAAAGGTTCCCGTGCGGTTGAATGCTTTCTGTGCGGTTGATTAATGTGCGTGAGATTTGTACTCAATGTGCGTGAGTGTTGTGCTTAATGTGCCTGCGATTTGTACTTAATGTGCGTGAATATATGATGTCAGCTTCTTCCCCATCCCAGTAGCCATTGTCCCTTCCCTGATGATGATGATGCGGAGCCGGGCTATGGTGGTTAAGAATTATGGGAATAATACAACAGAAATCCCCACTTAGCTGGTGTGCAAATTTTGATGTGCGTGCGTCATCTATATAAACATTCAACTGCACTGAAGGTAGCTGATAATCCAGAATCCATGGCCAAATTGAAGGAAGAAATAACAAGAAGCTTGGGCGTTAATGTGCGTGAGTTTTTTTTTTGTTCTGCTTCCTTCTGAGCTTGTAATTCTGAACTACTCACACACATTAAGCACAAATCTCACGCATATTAAGCACATTAAGTACAAAACTTACGCATATTAACATTACGCACATTAAGTACAAATCTCATGCACATTAAGCACAACACTCACGCACATTAAGTATAACCTCACGCACATTAATCCACCGCACAACCGCACAGGAAGCCACAAATGCACCTGATCCCTTCCATATATATATATATATATTAGCGCTCAAATGCGACAGTGGCTTTAGGTGCGGCGGTGCGGTTATATCAGCATCGTCCATTTTGCTTAATCTAACGGCAGCGGCTAATTTCTGAAGATTTAAAGATTTAAGCGCGTCCTGATAAGTGGGGGGTGTTATGGTAATTGTAGTGGTCATTTATATCGGCCGCTTCTCAGAATACACCAACAGTGTTAACAAAAGACACCAATAGTGTTAGGAAAAAGCACCACAATGAAATGCACAAATACACCAAAAAACACACAACACACTCAAAAAATACACCATATAACTCACCACCCCAATGATGTATTTCTGAACACTGTGTGGTGCTTTTATTCATACCTAATGGTGTGTTCTGGTGATGCATATCTAATTTGTGACATATTTTTTTGGTGTGCATTTTCTAACATGGATGGTGTATATTTGTATAACTATTAGTGCACCCGCACTGACCGCATGGGAAGGCGCGGGCGCACCTAAACTTGGCACCAACACGAATCCTCAAATACACCACAGTAAGGTTAATAATGCACCAATAACGAACATAAAACACACAACATTATGATTTGATCTATTCAGGTGCCCAATGACGACTTTAACCTTGCAGTTCGCGTAGTGTGAGAACGTGCGCGAAAATATCGGAAAAGCCTGGATGAATGTGATTCGTTGAATTTATCTAATCTAATGGCCTACATTTAACCGCACCGCCGCACCTAAGCGCACTGCCGCACTTGAACCTTCCTCTATATATATATATATATATATATATATATATATATATATATATATATATATATATATATATATATTAAAATTCTATATTATTTAATGCATGGACAATGATATTTTTATTTTTTTTTCATTTTCTTCTTCCTTATTTTTGATATTATTGTTCAAAAGTAGATGAGTAAAATGACAATGAATTTTGTTATTACTAAGCTAAGGGTGTGTTTGGTTGACATGTTTAGCTCTAAGAAATGCGTATCAAAGTGATTGGTATGGTTTGGTTGATAGGTTTTTAGAACACTACTATTGATTTCAAATACTCCCTTAATTGAAAAGTCCATATCCAAATAAAATAATGGTATCATCCATTTTCATTCCCTTATTCATTCTCATCCCTTCGATTAGTGCTTTTAAATTTTTTTTTTTTTTTTTTTTTTGTTTATATTGGTGTTTTGGATGTCTTTATATTAGAATCAATTGCCTTTATTTTGTGTTCTTGTATTTTTAAAATCTTTATTCTCATTATAGGATCATACATAACCAATTAAACATCATTATTGATAATTATTCTCATTCCACCCTACTACCAAACATGCAAAATACTTTCACTAAAGCCCATTACAATTACAAGTATTTGATACTCATTCTAATTGCGATTTTCATGTGCGAACCAAACACGCCTAAATGATTTGATGCCAATAGTAAGATAACAAAAATAAGTAAACAAACATGTTACAGACTAATATATATCAAAACCCATAATAGGGGCAAAGATCTCCAACTCCTCAATTCCTTGACCATTTCCTCAACTCCTTGCAGACTCAATTTGGACCCCTCCTATACCTCTTGCATCTATTCAAACTCCATCAAGAATGTTATAAATGCATGCCTTATTCTGATTAGATATACTTCTTTTTTTTAAAAAAAAAAAAAAAAAAAAAAAAAAAGGAAAATAGAAAGAACAAAATGAAATTAAAGGGAACCCCATTAACATTCCAATCAGTCATGTTGACAAGGCAGGCACTAGAAGCTAATCAAGCTATTGGCATGGGAACCCCAATCCTCCATTTTGTTAATTGGATAGCCTACAGGCTACAACTGCTTAGTACACAAGCACTTCAAGATGTGATATCTAACAAATCTATGTACAATATTAGGTCAGATTAATTTGTTTAATTATTGATTTCGTTTCTTTGGTGATGACATTATCATTCTTATCACATCATAATATACTTTTAAATATATTAAAAAGTTGGTATCAAGTAAAGAAACTCACACATGTTATGACGAAATCAAATAGGGATGCCAATTTTATTTTAGCCAAAAAGTTAATTTCACTTTTGGTCCTACATTTATTATGCGATAGACACATTTTGCTCGATTTTATTAATTTAGCCACATTTTACCCAGCCTTTTTAAAAAGTGGACACTTTTGGTCCACCGTTACATTTGATGTTAAACTGCCCTGAAGTAGGAGGGCAATTCTGGCATTTCATGTACAAATGTACAATCAATATGATCGATGGAAAAACCACGCTAATAACAACCCTGATAAATTTATGACTTAGCATCTTGGTTCTAAAATTGGATACGACAAAAAGCATGCAAAACGGTATATGAATTCACAAATGACATGCAACCTGCGTAGCAATCTTTGGTTAAGTACAGTTGTAAAAGGTCTCCACCTTTGTCTTGGCTCTGTAAAGAACCTCGGTGTCTACTTCAACCCTCATGTATCCATCAAATTCAATGAGGAGTCCACCATTCAGCTGGGTTGTTTCGTTGTACCATTCGCTCGTATTGCTCCACAAATACTGGTAATCATCTATGGATGTACTTTGCGGAGGGACCTTCACAGACTCTATACCAATAGTTTTCAGGCTCGAGGGCATCAAATTATATCCATATTATTGTGCTCTTGTCTTTCCTGAGCTGCATTGGTGTGAATTTATAGCCAGCAACCTTTCTTACAGGGATTTCGTTCTTTTGCGTCTTGTCCCATTTCTCCCAATCCGTAAGGAAATCTACTCGATCAACAATGGACGCCTCTTCTTTCAAGTGCTCAAAATCAAAGTAGAACCTGAAGTATTTCCCTTCGTCATCCTTGTGACTCTAGTGTAAGTAGACGTTAAACAGATGCTCAGATCCATCACAAATGTCCGATTCAAGTGTTGAGCCTCACCCAGAGTGCACAGAAACCTCCAGAGAAATTGATTCATTCCTTTACAACAATCACCGCCACGAGAATAGTACAAGATTTCCCATTTGTAAAAGCTAAATCTGATGCTAGCACGGGGATCGTATCATTAATCTCAGTGGCGGACCTAGAAATCTTTTACAGTGAGGGCGATAATTTTATTAACGAGATATTTTGAAACATAAAAAAATAAAACACTTAAGACATAGCTTTAATTAAAGATGAAAACTTAAAATACATCACAATAAAAAATATTTAAAACAAAATATAAAACATAATTAATTAAATAAAATAGTTCGAATGGAAAACACATTATAAATTACTCATCACACTATTAATATTAAAAAGTAAAAATAAAAATAAAACCATGGCCTATCCATATAGGAATAAGTAGCCTTACCATTTAAGCTAGATTAACTTCTGTTTTAAACTTGGTATATTTAATATATAAACGTTTCACTACAAGAAAAATGCACATAGACAACGGTTAATAACCGTTGTCGTAGGGTATAATTTCTGTTGTTGAAGCCGGTGTTGTTGTAAGTCCCGCGCATAGACAACGGTTTTTTAACCGTTGTCTTTTCTAGAAACAACAACGGTTTTTTAACCGTTGTCTATTAAGTGTTGTTGAAGCCGGTGTTGTTGTAAGTCACGCACATAGACAACGGTTAATAACCGTTGTCTTTTCTAGAAACAACAACAGTTTTTTAACCGTTGTCTATTAAGTGT